ATGTGCCGCATGTCAGGGACTGCAACCGTCATGTATTGCCTGCATGGAATTTTAAGGCTGGAGCGTCCACACCTGTGATAATGTCATAGTGTTGCCATCACGATAGCAGGATGAGTAACCATATGCAGTGTCTGGCAATGAACAAATGTCACCAATGCACAGCGAAGACCGTGCGAGGATCGTGCTAAATGGAGATTTCACTAATAGGCAGGTACGCCAAGTTGATCAGACCTGGTATCCCATGACTGTGGTAGCTTCGCTGAGTGCGGTCCCACAAAAATGCCGCACTCCACTGCTTATCTGGACAGTTCGTTGCAAAGTACCAGAGGGTAATTCCTTGTAGGAGCCAAGTTGCGAGGAATGTCAACACGAAAGTCGACAAATATCATGAAAACCAAAAAATTCAAACCCATTGGACTTGGCAAGCGGGGTGTGCATACACAAACAGAAGATTCTTCACCTCACATCGCTGGTGAAATAGTCCTAGACGATAGACGTAGTTGCATGTATTTGTGGCTGCTGCCTGAATCCCATGTGGCAGGCTGACAATGGAGGCCACGCCTTGTCTGAAACCTTGTGTCTCGACTGCACCCAGACCAACCTTCATTTGGACCGCAGGAATTAGTCCATGACTCGGCAAGTATTTTTGATTTGAGTTACTTAGCTGGAGCTGTGTTTTGCACCGAGCATCCTGCTGCACCAGAGGCGCATTTTTGTCTTGGTCATGTTGCGTGCTGCATCCTGCCCTGTCACATGAGGTGCTCAAAGAAAGCACAGGCGCTTGATGCAGCCATCGGTGCAGGAGTGGCTTTGAAGGAGTGTTGTGGTTGCGGTTTGAGTGTGTGCCTCTCCGGCCAATGAGAATGGGTTGGAAACGCAGCACGTTGGCCGAAAGTTGCAGACGCTTCAAAACCAAGCCCAGGCATGCCAACAGTTGCTATCGCACCAACACCCCCCTCCGTTCACCACCCCGTCCACCGCCTCTCCCCTCCTGACCACTCCGTCCCCCCACGCTTTGCCCTTGCGACTGCTTGGGTTTTAGGGTTCTTGATCGATTGAGATGCAAGGAATAAGGTCCGCGGTTTAAGTTAAGAGGGTTTAAGGATTGGAAATTCAATTAAATTGGAGAACCAACGGGAATCTTTTTACAAGTGCATGGAAATGGTCAGATGTCCCTTAAACAGCAATACCGATGGTCAGATGTGTCGAAAAATTGAACAGAGCTCTTCGTATAAGATGTACTAGCAGCGATCAGAACAGAAATGGTCAAATCATGTCAAATCCACCTGAAAATTGAATAGAAGTGGTTGGGTTCCTTTTAAACTTGAGTAGAACTGGTCAGATTCCTCTTAAAATTGAAAGGGACGGTAAGATCCCTTTCAAAATTGACTTTCCTTAAAGCTGCGGGGATTGACGAGTGGTATTGGGCGGGGGCATGTTGATCAGGGGAGGCTGGTCAGGTCGGGGGGGAGTGACCATCGTGCCAACGACCATGATTAGTAGAAATATTAGAAATAGGCCTTTGTAAGTCCCATGTAGTGTGACGTCACCTGGCATAGGCTCCACTCCTTTGCGGTCAGCCCTCCGCGGCGCTGCGCGCCGCAAGCTGCTTGGGGAGACGGAGGCTGGCGCAGTAGCGAAATCAGTGGTCCGCAAGCAGAATCCTAATGGCATCTTGCAAGCTTGCCAAGCTGCAACGTTTGAAATCAAGGCAGCGCTGTCTGTCATGCAATCGGAGTTGAAAAAGGATGGAACGACGAGCGGCATCTTGTGGGCTACACCCTTGAAACATTGCGATCCAGAGGGTATGGATCAACCCCTTTGTTCCATGGTATTTGGATGAACAAGTTTCGAGTAGCTCATCAAAGACCTGGGTTTTTGGGAAAGAGACATTTTGAAACAGATTAAGCAGCATGTTGAGTTTGAGGGATGATAAACTCAGCTTTCTGTATCGCGTTCCCAAGTTAACAGGCTTCCAAATTTACCCTTCAGATCCCCACAGACCTCCGCAGTTGGGGCGTTTCATGTGTGAAGCTCAGTCACCCTCTATGAGCCTGACAGCTCGTACTTTGCAGCTTTGCCTTCATGTAGGCGCAGGAGCAGCCTTGGCTGAAACACAAGCTCCGTGGGCAGGTGCTTCTCTCAGTCAAGGATCCCTCATCCTTGAATCTAGCTATCGCCATAGCAGCCCAAGAAATCCGTCCAGTGAGCCTGTACCTGAAAGCTGGTAGAGAGATCATGTTTTTTCGCATGTCCCCTTTGCATGTGTGATTGTGTGCCTGGTGAAGTAACTAGAGAATGGTCGTCCCGAAAGCATTTTGAGCAGCGAGTAACATTTCATAACCCGTTCTTCATCCAGACATGCATCGAAACATCGTTCCATCCATCCACGACTATTATTGCTGTTATTACCACTAATTGTTATGATCATAATTGCTATTGGTACTATTATTGTCAAGCCTAGGCCGGATCTGTAGCATCTGGAGTTCATGTATGCGTATTGAAGAATTCGGCAGCCCCACATACCCGAAATCCAGCAGCTCAAATTGGTTTCGGCAAGCATGTTAAATCGCCCAGGTCATTGACCTTCGCGACGAGGCTTGGAAAGGGGCTTGTCTGGTAGTCCCTACTGGCTTCCTTGCAACAAGTGGGCATGCGTAGATCAGTGGATGTGCAGACACGACGTGGAAGAACCCGTTGCAGGACCGACCCCGTGCGGCGCGCGGGCAGAGCCCGTGGGGTCTCAGAACTCAGAGCAAGGGCGGAGGTCTTTCCATGTTGCCTGCGCCTCAGCAGAGGTCGAAGCCCCAAGGGCCGACGGAAGAGTTGTGGTGGCGGGCTTAGCTGCAGTTTTTTTGTACGTATTTGGAGGGTTTCTCTTCTAGAGCACATCCTTGGCAATGAGTTTCCACAATATGACGGTTTTGCAAAGAAAGGCATCTTCAGTTGCAGAGTTGCAGATGCTCGTGCCTCGTCTAACTCTTTTTTGTTTCACGTGCTGTTGCCTCGGCGACAGATGGCAACAGACAAGGCTGCACACATGCCCGAAACATCCTTGAAACCCGCTGGCATCGTGATGTGCATTTTCTCATGTAGTTTGCGTGGCCCTGCGTCGGCCTGGTCAGTCCTGGTAGCTACCAGTATGTCCGTCATCCGACAGAGCAAGCTCTAATCTTGCACATGCCACGAAAAGCACTGCGAAATTGAGGCCGTTGCACCAAAAGTGCTGGCCGACACACGAATTTTGCCTCGCGATTGTTGTAGGCTTTCAAAACAGAACTCTAATAGTTAATTACAGCATATACCGTGATAGTACTTCTTAGCGTCCTGGTTCATGAAGTACTGACCGTTACTGTACCTACATCGGGCCGCGTTTCGGCATGCAGTTTCTCAGAAGTTTGCCGCAGCTGTCTGATCTAGATTAGCAGCCTCCAGCGCCTTTGAATACACTTGCTAAACACTAGATCATTAGCATCATGAAGCCTGGGATCGGACCCGTGCCTGCGTGACTATTGTGTGAGTGGTCCACCCAACCTGAGGATATCTCAGAAATGGGTGGGACATGAAGATCCAAATGTGTTTGAACGGTTCTTTCGTGCGCAGTCTATTCGAAGGCAAATATGGAAACGTTCATCAACGTGCGCATGTGATGCAGCCATAACCTCACTCGTCCGTTCAAAAGGCAAGTGTCCCAGCTCTGCAAATTCAATGCCAGCAAGCGCGGGCGCAAGCGCAGCGCTTGTGGTCTTTCCTTCCTCTTTGGCCTTCTGCGCTCTTCTAAATTGTGCGTGTGCGTGTGTGGGTGTGTGTGTGTGTGTCAACCTCTGTACCAAAGAGCTAGCTTGTTAACATCAGCTTTGACCTTGCTTGTCTTACATGCTAAGATGAAACCAGAAACAGTCCAACAGCAGGGGGCATGGC